TCTCTCTCAACCACAATTGCTGTGCTGACAACGTTCTTGGTTGTTGTAATGTATAGCATCATGTCCTCTTTGTCTTTTGGTGGTGTCATTACTGGTGATGATACCAAGTATTCTTTTAACTTTTGGAATGCTTCTTCTGCCTCTTCTGTTCATTCAAAATTTCCTGCCTTTTCAATAATTTGAAGAAAGGTAGCCCTTTTTTTCCTAGTCGGGAGATGAATCTGTTGAGTACTGCCATGCATCCTGTAAGCTTCTGTATATCTTTAACTTTCTTTGGAGGTTTCATATCCATGATGGCTTTAACCTGCTTTGTACTTGCTTCAATTCCTCGGTTACTGATTAGAAACCCGAGTAGTTGTCCTGATGGTACCCCAAAAACACACTTTGTGGGGTTTAGCTTCCACTGCCATGCTTTTAGATTCTTGAAAGTCTCCTCGAGGTCTTCTATCACTGATCCGGGTTCTTTTGTCTTGATTACTACATCATCAATGTATGCTTCTGCATTTCTTCCGACTTGACTCCCCAAGCAAGTTTGAATTGCTCTTTGATATGTTGCCCCTGCATTTTTTAGCCCAAAAGGCATTGATTTATAGCAATATGCCCCAAAGGGTGTAATGAACGAAGTCTTGCTTTGGCCTTCTTCTCTTAAGGATATTTGATGATAGCCTGAATAGCAATCTAGAAAGGATAACAGAGCTGATCCTGTTGTCGAGTCGATGATTTGATCAATCTTTGGTGGGACATATGGATCTTTTGAGCAATGTTTGTTGAGGTCTGTGTAGTCGATGCACATGCGCCATTCTTTTGAATTCTTCTTCTCTACTAGGACCGGGTTGGCAAGCCAATCCGGGTTGATTATTTCTCTAATGAATCCTGCTGCCATGAGCTTGGTGATCTCTTTTTTGATTGCTGCTTTTCTGTTTGGAGCGAATCTTCGTAACTTCTGCTTAACGGGTTTGGACCCTTTGTTCGCATCAATTATGTGCTTAGCCAACTCCCTTGGGACCCCTAGCATGTCTGCTGGCTTCCAAGCGAAAATATCTTGGTTGTCCCGAAGAAAGTTGGTGAGCGCGAGTTCCTATTTGGGGTCGAGATTTGCACTGATGATTGCCGCCTTCTCCGGATCACCAGTCAATAGGTCAATAGTCTTGGTAGCGGCTTCTTTTGGTGGTGCGAAGTTGCTTGGCTTCTTAGCCGGTATCTTAATCTCATCTGGGTTCATTTCGTTGGCCAGCATTGCAATCTCCTTTCCTTCCTTTATATCTTGTAATCTTTCAGATATTTGTACTGCTTGTACGTCGCAATCATGTGCTTTCTTTAGATCTCCTTTCAATGATAATACGCCCTTTGTTGTTGGCATCTTGAGTAGTAGGTATGGATAATGTGGTACTGCCATGTATTTTGTTAAAGCTGGTCTCCCAAGTATTGCGTGGTAGCATGATTCAAAGTCTGCAACTTCGAATTTGATGAATTCCGTCCGGTATTTGTCTGGTGTGCCAAAGGTGACAGGTAGGGTTATCTATCCGAGGGGCATAGCTGCTCTGCCGGGTACTATTCCATAGAATGGTGTGCTTGTGGGTGTCATTAGACCTTCACAATCCAGATTCATCCTTTTGAGAGTATCTACGAAAATTATGTTAAGCCCGGCTCCTCCATCGATGAGTACTTTAGTTACTGCTACTCCTGTGATAGTCGGACCCAGTACCAGTGGGTAGCATCCTGCGTTTGCTGCATTGGTCCATTGGTCTTCTCTTGTGAAGTGGATGGGGTACTCTGACCAATCTAGATATCTTGGGATGGCTGGTTCAGCTGCCATGATGGCTCTGTGAGCTAGTTTCTCTTGTCTTTTGCTTCGTGTGTTAGGAACACCTGAAAATATCACCGCTAATTGGCGTTGGGGTTCTTGATAATCTCCTTCAACTCTCTTTTCCTCCTTCTTGGATTCTTCTAGCTTTGGCTCCGAGTTGTTTTGATTCTTGTTTTCTCTCTTCATGAATTGCCGCTGAAAAGTGCTGCATTCAATTAACTTGTGTCTGGCCCCTGGGTGTATGTGAGACGGCATGTTTTCTATGTTTTTCGGCGCTCTTCCTCGGTAGTTGTTACTCTGATAGTTGTTATTACTATTGTAACCGCTATTGTTACGGTTGTTGCTATTGTTGTAGTTGCCATTGTGATTGCTATCATTGTCGTTGCCATTATATCTTCTTTTGTTGTCTGTGGTTGCCACCATATTGTCCTGCCTTGCTCTTTTGTCTTGCTGTCTGTAATTGGGTCTTCTATTCTCTAGGTTGTCCCTAGCAAATCTGTGCTGAGTTCTTTCTTCTAACGAAATTAGCTTCTCAACAATCCTCTTGAAGTCTTCATTTGTTCTTGGGTTCTCATTGAAATAGTCCTTGTATTGCCAGTTTGTCCAGATTCCTTCTGCAAATGCCTCTATCACCTCCCTATCAGCAATGTCGTGGACTTGAGCCCTGAATTCTCCAAATCTCCTATAGTATTCCCTTAGACTTTCTCCTCTCCTTTGCTTTACTCCTTTCAATTTGGCTACAGTCATTGGATGGGTAATAATGCCTGCGAAGTTGTTGCAGAAAGCTTCTTGCAAGTCTTCCCAATACCTGATTGATCTTGGCCTTAATTTGTCAAACCATTGTAGCGGCATTGCTTCGAGGGCCATTGGGAAGAATAGAGCCTTGATGTCGTCGTCTCCTCCAGCTAATTCAATAGATTGGGAGTAAACCCTTAGCCATTGTCTTGGTTCGACTTTGCCATCATACTTGGAATGATTTGCTGGTTTAAACTTGTGCGGTAGCTTTAAAGTTTGTAGTCTTCCTGCGAAACAAGGGAACCTGTCGTATGGTTCCGTTCTTCCGTAATCTGGCAATCTTGCCCTTCTGTAATAAGACTTGTCTTCTTTTAACTCAGACTCTCCGTACTCATCTTCTTTGTCAAATCTTCTTGATATTTCTTGGTAGCGTTGGCTCAATTCTGGTTTGTCTCTTTCTTGTTGCTTTGAGTAGTGTTCCTTCATTCCATTGATATCAGCACTTTCTACTGGTCCTATCCTTTGAAAATTTGATTTTTTGGGTGGCTGCTCCCTTTGTGGCTCCTGTGGAATTTCTTCGTCGGGTTGTTTTTCTGATCCCCCGACTTCTTTCTTCTGGTCTTCCTTTGCTTTCCCGTTATTCGTGAGGGTGTACAACTCCTTTGTTAATTCTTCAATTCTTTCCCTTTTTGTATTTTTTGTGGCTTCTTTTTCCGCCTTCTTTCTGTTGTATTCCATTAGCTCCGCTTTGTATTTATTCCAGACTTGCTCCCTTTGTTTAGCCCGGTTCCTCCTTCCAGCTTTCAATTTGTTCTTCTTTAGCCTTGCTAGTCTTTGCTCATCATTTTCGTTGCTGTCGCTTTTCTCATCTGGCGAGATGTTGCCTTCTGATTCGTCTGAAGATTTTATATCTGGTATCTATGGTGGTTTCAAAGGTTGTTCTAACTGCTCTGCCATGTATACAGTATACCTCTTCTGAGCTCTTCTTGTACGGTATTCCATCCTTCATTTGGTTGAGCTGTCTGTAGCTTCTGAACTGGATCCGAGTTCTTTTCCCTCTTGATAAGGTAGTTCTTCAGCGCGCGTGCCAGTCTGGGCTTTGCTTGAGATGAAAGAACCTGGCCAATGCACCACACAATCTTGTGGGGTCACTGTCATGATCATCCCTTCTTGTGCTCCCTCCAGGAGTATTCTTCTTGCTGAGTTCATCTTATTTTGGGTAAAGTATTGATAGACTGATGCCGCGTTGCGCAGTCCGTAAGTTCCCAAGTTCTTCTTTGAGTTGTACGGGTCGTATCCCTTCGCGATCGTTGTTGTGTCTCCGAGTCCAATTAGGCTTGTCTCTTGTGCCGTGAAGATTGTCTTGGGATCGGGTTGTATCTCTTTTTCAGAGTCGGTTTCGTATCCGCTTTCTTCCTTATTCCGAGTTGTATCCGAAGTTGAGAGTTTTGTCATCTTCTAAACGAGTTTGTATTGAACTTCGTCATCGAATTCTTTTTCTTCTCGGAGACGGGTACGAAGCTTGCCGTCGCCGTCAGCCTTGCAGATCCAGGATCCAAAGACAAAGGTTGTTCCCGCCGAAAAGGTCATCTTGAGGTTGAGGTCCGCCGAACTCTCGAGAAAAAATTCGTCGAAAGCCCCTATCTGGCGCGCCAGCTGTCGATGTTTTACCACCGATAGCCTGCCACGGGGGTACCCGGGACAGTTGTTCGGGCTTCGGCGAATAGCGGAATTCGGTGGTTACGCAAAGAGACTCACGATTTATACTGGTTCAGGCCCTCGACTTGGTCGAGTAATAACCTTACGTCCAGTTTTGGCGTTAGCCTATTTGCATTGTATTGCTTTGAGTATCGGGTATGCGTTCTCTCCTTACAATGGGTACCCTCACCAGCCCATTATAGTCCAGGCGCTGAGAGGCGTTGTTTGTGTCCTATTCGGATACAAGGTCAGAGTCCTAAGCTACGCTTCGGACGCCTTTCCTTATATAATTTGCGTTGGAGTTTCGGTTTTGCACTTTGCTTTGCTCCGCGTTCTTCTTGGCGATTGGGTTGTAGGCCTTGTTATCAAGGCCTACCTCCCTGTAGTATGGTCTATGGGGGGCCGTAGGGTTCCCCATCGACATGGTTTTGTGCCAATCCAAAGAAATTGCTTTCTTTGGCTGTCACTTGCTTTGAGCACTGCTTTTCAAAGATAATAAGAAAAATGCTTTGAGCATGCACTTGTTCTTTTTCTCGCGGTTAGGCCGTAGCCTATTTTTTATTAAGAGGACAGGAAAAATTTTAAAGTTACATGACATCAACAAGTTTTGACTGTTCCAAATCCAAACTCGCTGGCAAGACGCTAGCGTTCAGGATCAAAACCAAGAAAGCTCTCACATCTTGTTCTACCATATGTTCGACAAGCCAAATCAACTCCAGGACTTCAAATCCACTAACCAACACGGAGAGACCCTCGCTCGTCACTGCGCCTTCTTCTTAGCTTCTTTGGCGCGGCCCTTGGCGCGGATGCTGATGGACCTGTTTAGGAACATCCTGTCGGCGATAGGCTCGGGCACAAGGGAGATGAGGAGCCACACCAGTGCGTGCCCCCAGTACGGCGTGCACCGCGGCTCGTACCCGATGTAGCGGACGGCGGCGCGGGCATACGTCTCCGGCGACGGTGCCAGGAAGGTGGGTTTCCTGATGGACGCCAACTTCGTCGCCACCTGTATGGGCACCTGGATCACAGAACAACGTACATACAGATTCCAAGACTTATTTCTTTCTCACCCAAAAAAAAGATTCAAGACTTTTAGTAGCCACTGCACTCATGGCAAAAGAGTTCAGCTAGCATGCTTTAAATCATGGAGTATATCTTGAATGTATGGGCAAAGGCAGATAGCAGTTCTTTCTCACCCCTTTAAATCATGGAGCCCTGTTCGGCAGGCAGTAAACGATCGTATACGATCGTGAATTATAAGCTGAAACAGTATTTTTCTCTCACACCAAATCAGCCAAACCAGCCGACAATAAATAATCCACGATCCAGCCCAGCCAGCCGAAAAGGCTAGATATGATGGCTCCATATAACAGCATTCATGACACCAACAGCGAGCATATCACCGATAGTCAACTTCCTATAAATGTTTCTTCGAGTGTCACGGTCACGGCTGTGTTTATTTGGAGCAGTTGGATGTTTCAAAGGGCAGATGTACCGGTGGTTTTATTTAATTTCTACTAGTATACAATAAATATGCATTATGCACACCGGTTTCTTATTGGGGCCATCTGACAACGGCTTTTGCAAGTACCATTGCATCGAGCTCCACTTGTACATCACCAGGAAATCATGTTATTGTTTCCCCTACCATGCAAATGCAATGCTACTGTCCCTCCTAGCACATGCATTGTAGCATGCATAACTTGCATTCCCTCTGTTCATTTTTATAAAGCATTTTTTAATTATCCAAGTTCATGATTTGACCAACAATTAGTCAAATAATGAAAGTTATGTGCCATGAAATCAATATTAATATTATATCCGTACTTTATCACTTGTTAATGATTAGTATGTCTTATAAAAATGGATTGTATATGAGTGTGAAAAGACCGTGGTAACTTATGTGCATTCAACTATTCAAGCATTCCATAACGAGAAGGGATACCGACGGAGGAGTGCAAAATTAATGCTTTGCATCAAACAATTTAGACGGATTCAAGGGAGACTTTAACATATTTTAAACACTTTTAGCAGTTTGGTAAACTGAGTGCATTGCCATCGAAAAACGTTTTGTCGGTGCAAAAAGTGACCAACAAGTAAATATTTGTAGTTTTGTCGTGTGTTGTGATCAGATATGGCGTAACACGCGATGATACAGGATTTATACTGGTTCAGGCAACGTGCCCTACGTCCAGTTTCAGTCGGTCGGTGACTTTATTCCTGAGTATAGGTGCTCAAAGTTTGTTGTGGGGTTACAAACGAATAGAAATGAGAAGGGGGTGTTAAAGGCCCGATCAGACTCTGATCCGAATGGAAAAGAGTGATGGGTGCCCTAACGTACGCTAAGTACTGGAGCGTATGCTCTATGTAGCTATCGAGTTCTAGAGCTATTGAGCTGTTCGAGTCCTCGAGTCGTCTAGTATCTTCTTTTTTCGGAGAGAGCGCATCCCTTTTATAGGTGAAGGGGGTGGCCTTACAAGTCAGAGAGAAAGAGAGAAAGTGTATACGAGTGTTGCCTCGTCTTGTTGCTCACGCCATCGAGTATGGGATGACTGCCAGCGCCCACAATACTGTTTATGCCCAGACGCGTCTGACAGGCTCTACCGTGTTCGTCTGGCATGCCCCGATGGCACCATCCTGTAGGTGCTCAAGGCATGGCAGGGTACAGCAAACGACGGCGCCTGTAACACCCCAGGTGTTTGTCACCAGTTAAGCAATGGGTTTGAGCTCAAACATGACATGTCGAGTGGTAATGAAGGTGTCAAGATCAAATCTACATGATGGAGCTCCAACTTAAACTTGGGCCACGCACATTTGCTTACATATGGACCCTTGTTAAGATTATGCAAGAGTAATGTTAAACATGCTTATTCCATGTACATTACATCCACATGCATCCATCTAGACCAGTGGAAAAGTTTCATGAAGTTTCGAATCAAAAAGTCACATGAAATGATAAGTCATATCTTTGCATGAATTGCTTTATCAAGTGGATGGAAACCTATGAAGTCAACCAAACCTTGGTACCTTGCTCAAACAACTCTACTTGCACTCATGAACAAAAGTTATGAAGGGTTCATGTTGAGCAGGTGGCCAGAAAATGCTCCAATGGATCAAAAAGGATAATTTAAGCTTCATCGTGATCCTACTTTGGTCAAAGTAGAACAGTAGGTTCTATACCAGTTTTGAGGTTGGACCTTAAATGAAAGTTGTAGTCCATATCATGTAGAACAAACTTTGTTTTTGGAACAAGAGCCAGATCAACTTGGAACTAAGTCAAACAGAGGCTCGAAAATTGAATCAACGGCTGTTTTCAGACTTAGAATTTTTCTAAGTCTGGAATTCATTGTCGTCGCCATTGGCATTCCGCGTTCTCGTGTTTTCGTTAAGCAACTTGAGTTGGTCCGAAAATAAAAGTTGAAGGTTATATTATGGCGAAGAGCATGCAAAAAGTTGGAACCCGTTTGGCTTCGTGTTGATGGTTAATTCTGAGTTTTTCCTAATCACCATCGTCACGCTGACAAACCAAAGTTTGGAGCACGTTATCTGCTAAACCATAACCCTAATGGCCCTGAACCCTTAAGAAAAGTTGGAGAGCATCAGGTGTAGACCAAACTTCGTTTTGGGCCCATGGACCAAATCGGCCCGTAGCTGGCCCAAATCTGCGCTCCACCATGCCCACACCGGTGCCCGCCACCTGTTCGACCGCTTGCCGACGTGGTCACCGCGCATGGACGCCGCGCGCCCCGCCATTGCCGACGCGTGCCCTGCTGCGTGTCTCGCGCTCCTACCTCCTCCTCATGCCGGTGTGGTGGCAGAGGCTCCCCCTCCACTCCCGCTCACTCCCTCTGCGCTCCTCACTCGCCCTTTCTTTCGCTCTCGCGGTGTGACGCCGCGCACGGCCGCATCCGCCATGGCCGAGCTTGTCCCCGCCGCCCCGAGCTCCCTCGCGTGATACCGCGTGCGCCACCACCTTCCCCGTCGTGCGCCGCCCCTTCTGCTCCCCTTTTCCGGCCACCGCAACCGTCGTAGCGCCGTCGCCGCCGGTGCTCCGCCTGCTCGCGCGGCCGGCAGGCCGCAGGCCGCCTCGGGCCGAGCTGGGAAGCCCAGCGGGTGCGCGCGGACCCTTGGTCCCTCCCTTCCACTTTCCCCGCCGGCGACGAGCATCTTCTGGCCGGCACCGCGAGCCTCCGACGGCCTCCTCTGCTTTGATTCACGTGGAGGACTTCGCGCTCGAATTCGAGAAAAGGGAGGGATCCTTCTGCAAAGTCAGTGACTCAAAGGAATAGTGCCGATAAGGACCTATTTGCAGTAAATTTGTTGAATCTTTGGAAATTCATAGTAATTCATAGAAAATTCATAAAATAGCAAATGAAGATTTTTTGGAATCCTTGTGAAATTATCTATGCATTAGATCTATAATATGGCATGTTTTAGTTTTAATATTTTGCGGTAAAAATAGATTTGTGCAGTAAGGTTGTAATGCTAGTTGAATTTGTTATTTTCCATAACTGTAGATCTAGGGCTCCAAATAAAGTGAAATTTTTGTGGCATGCTACTCATGTGATAGTTGATGTTTGGTAAAAATTTCATGAGTATTGGATGAAGTATGAGTGAGTTATTGGTTTATCTTGCTCTCACATGATTTCTTGCTTTAGCAACTTGTCTTTTTCATAGAGGGTGCTATACATATTAAAATGGAGTAAAATTTGTACAGTAGACTATTGAGAGGATATGTGAGCCACTGTAATTTTTGTAGAATTTATGGTATACTTTTGGTATGTGTTCATTAAGTCACCTTGTTATCTAAAATAAATTAAGAAACGCATTAAAAGAATTTATTTGGTCATGGACACTAGGTTTTCTGGTGTTATTTAGTCATGTGTGACAAGTTGGTAAAGTTGGTTTTGCCTAATTATGTGTTTGCAACATAAGTTAATATTTATTTTCTTGCAAATGTGGTTTATGGACAGATCTGGGAACCTAGCAAAGTTCTTCATGATAATGTGCTTTGTTGTGAAACTTGTTTATACAAAAGTTGTAGATAATTCATGTATCTAGCTGCTGTTAAAATTTGGTGGTATTTGGCCTTGTAGTTTGTGAGTTATGCCTATTTAAAGTTGAGTTTCAGAAATGGCTGCTCTCTGTTAATTGTGGACCAGTTTCTTTAAATGTACAATTTCGACCTATTTAACTTGTGAATCATGCTATGCTGGTTATAGATGAAATGTATATAATTTCATAAGCTTTCCAAAATGTCTTCTTGCAAGTCATTTGGATTTGTGTAACTCCAGTTATAGCTAAATCTTGTAGCTGCTGTTTGCATGTCCAGAAATTGACAGATTACAATTATAGTTGTTTGCTTGTATATTGCTAAGTGTGGCTCAAACCTTTGATGATGGTTGAGTTAGAGTACCTAAGATCTTGGGAAACTTGTGTCATGCTTGGTGTTGTCGTCTTCTTTGCTATCGTGGGATGATAAATTGTGCGATATTTAAAGTAGGCAATGCGAAGTGCTTGTGCATATTAATATAACCTTGTGCTTGTCTTACTTACTGCATGCGATGCATTGTCTATTGCACTTTCATGTATTCATACACTTGCATATTGCATCTCATCTAGGTACGCTAGATGCACCACGTGAAGGATGCGATGTTGGAGCCAAACCCGAAGACAGCGTTTGATGAATCTATCCCGAAGATGGAAGGACTAAACAAGTGCTAGGACCTGAGATGTCACCAAGACGGTGCAAGCTAACTGAACTGACTTGTGTCGGATTCCAGGCAATCCCCGGAGCATATTAAGCCTCCTAATTTTCGAAATGCAGTTACAGTATTATTATTACATATATATATTGTTGCATTAAGTTTAGGTGTTGGATGCAAACACTTGCTGCATTGGTTATCCAATCCTTGTCCAGATATTGATACCCTGAATCCTATGTAGCTCAGGCTCGTGTAATGCTTAGCCCTGCTTAAACACGGTAGAAGTCAGGTAATTTCCTGTCACCTGCGAGATATAGGAAGATACATATGGCACGGTTGGCTATATTTGCTATCGTGGAAAAGAACCAGTCTTAATTTGAAATAAAGACCGGACGGAGGCTTGCCGGTTTGCAGTGACTCCGTCTATGTCGATTCAGTACTGAATCTTGGAGCCTTTTCTGTTCATGTTGAACGCATGCCTCTCTCTTAGTTGGCCGTGTCCGATGACCGGCCGCGAAGCCGAGTAGCTCACCTCAGGTCGGGAATCGATAAGTATAAAGTGCGCCTTGGAAGGGAGCCGTAGGCGTGAGTCCAAGGGCAGGTGATTTAAAAGTCCTGATCGTCCTGGCAGAAGGGTAATCCCTGAGAGTGCTGGAGCTGATCGAACCCGCGAATTTGGTTCTTGAGTTGTTCCAAAGGTGACCCACGGCTACCCTTACTAAGTATGCCAGGGTGAGAGTTAGGAATACCCCATCAGCTGAGTTGTAATTCGATTCGAGTCACCGTCTCTCCCGGTTAGTGAGAACTTGATGGGCTTATCTCCAAAGTAGATACATTAAATAACATAATGGTTCAAAAATGATGATATGATGATGATAGCCTTATTATACCTGCTATGGTTAATATTGTTTG